GAAAAAAATCCAAATAGGGGTGAAGGGGGCCCGAGCAAGTTTGTGTAAAAACTCGTTAAGATTTTTTGTTTTGCATTAGGTGCTAAGATTTTTTTGTCATAAAGAAGCATTGTGATCTCGCATCGGGGTTTTGGCAATCGTGCTCTACAAGGTTTGAGGTTTGAGAAAATCTATCCAAATGATAAATGCCACACATGTGGCACAAAGCAACATGGTCCAAACCCCTTCATTACCATCCATTTTGCCACATCAAACAAATGGCATCAACGAAATCTTTTTGGTTTTGGAACTTAAAAATGTTTTATCTTCAATAAAAAATCTGATAAAAATCCGTTTTCATCATTAAATCCATCTCGAAGAGATTTTCAAAACTAGATTTCACTGAGTTGCCACAATGTTTACACTATATTTGCCAGGATATGCTTCATCTATTTTTTCTAGATCTTAAACTACCATTGTTTTTCAACTACTTTTCATGACAAATTTTATTAATTGACCATGGCAATTTTTAGTAATTAACCACGCCAAATTTAATTCATGGATCATGGCAATTTTTAGTAATTCATCATGGCAAATTTAGTTTATAGATCATGGCAAATTTATTTTATAGATCATGACAATTTTAGTATTTTGACCCTAGAAGTTATTTTTTTGTATGAACCATGGCAAATTTTAGTGCATGTATCATGGCAAATTTAAGTATTTCACCATGGCAATTTTAATTTATGTTTCATGGAAAATTTGAGTCATTGACTATGCATTTTTAAAGTAATCGACGATGGATTTCTTTTTAATTATGAACCATGAAAAAATTGTTTCATGGATCATGGCAAATTTTAGTAATTCTCCATGGCAAATTTAGTTTCTTAATTCCCTCTTTTATACATGTCAAAATTTACTTTAAACAAACAACAAAAAGTAGTTGAAACACATCATGGCAACTCTAGTGTAAATACCATGACAATTTATGTGAAATAGACATGGCAACTTTTGACCGCCAAAAAATATCGTTGAAACATATTGATATGGGATCTACTTTTGTATTCCTCGCCGCGGTGGATTTAATAGTGAAAACGGATTTTCAGTCAGATTTTTTATTTAAGAAATAAAACATTGTAAAGTTTAAAAAATTCAAAAGATTCCTCCTGACATCATCTGATTTCATTCTGATTTGTGTGCATGTGCGAAAAAAAAAGATACCGTTTCACAACGGGTGGCTAGATGGGCGTTTGGCCCAACCTCCTTCAGTCCACACGTGTGGACGAAATTGCTTCGTGCCACACGTGTGGCATTTATCAGGGTACAAAATCTATACTCACTACACTGGAATGGAGGGATACCACCCACGATTTGTAATCAACATTCGAATGCATGCTGTTAATTATTTTGCCTTCGAAAACGTAATTTTCGGGCGGTAACGAAGGACCGGGTTACCGCCCGCTAACCAAACCCATGCCTACAACACCACACACTTGAGACTATGTTACGGACCATTGCCCACACACGTAGGCTCCATTTCGCAATTAAACATGGACATCCCAACTGGAGTAGATCCAAAATAACTCAAAGGGCCCGAGCCAACAGTAGCATGTACGTACTTAGTAGCATACGCACGGAAAGAAAGAAGAAGCATCTCACACTGCCAAAGACCAGCATATACCCCCTCTTGCTTTGCGGGCAGCAGCTGCACGTGCCCCTATCTGGCCCACGAATCATCGGTAGAACTCCCCGTTTCTTACCGATTCACCGCCACGAACCCACAGATCCCGATGAAAGAAAAGCGACATTCCTCCCTCCCCCGTCCCTCTCCACCACCCCCTGCCTGCCCTATCCCAGACCCGTCCTGCCATCCGCGCATGTGCGTGCCCAAGCCCCAGATCCCAAATCATTTCGCCGTAATTGCACTTGTTTAGCTGGCGGCCTCACCTAACCTCCTCCTCCTTCACGGCACGCCATGGACGGACGGACAGACAAAGCTTCCTCTCTATATATATATATACAGGACGGAGCGCTGTTTCGCCGCAAAAGAGAGAGGACGGGAGAAAAATCGCCGGAGACGGGGAAGAGGACAAGCGTGACTGTGCGAGGAGCGAGAGCGTGGGGCTGCGAAACTGTACGAAGAATAAAATACTGCGATAGAAGCAGAAGCTGCAGCTGCAGTAGCAGAAGGTGGCCGGCGGGGGTTCACTGTTGCAGGTAGGCCTGCAGCACGGCAGCGCAGAGCTGCCGGCCGCTGCTGCTGCGCATTCAATGCCGCCCGCAAGATGCGAACTGGAAACGGAAACAGGAGCTACACAACGGCCGAGCCTATTTTCGATCGCCGTGGCCTAGTGAATGAAAGGTAAAAATCAGAAGAAGTTAAAAACTGGAGCGAATTTGAACAATTTGGATGGGGAGAGAGAGAGAGCTAGTGTTGCATAGCTAGCTCTAGGCTGCTGTGCATGGGATTATTCTGTTCTTTTTTCACTCCTCTTTCTCTTTACTGTTTTCCTTTGCGGGTTGGATCAGCGTCTCTTTTCACTCCCAGCAGGCCTTCCCTTTCTACGCGCGCCGCCGCTAGCTCCCGTCATTTTGCATCATGCTCAGAGCCTCAGACGGTGGCCACCGGGGTCCACTCGAACCGGCCGGCGTTGAGAGGCACGCCGCGCGCGACGTCGAAGTTGTACCTGCAGTGAGGCAGCGAGAGCACAAGGCTTAGCGTGGCGGCGTCTGTGACGGCGATAGAGCGACTGCCAAGTGCCAAGACGTATGTGTACTTGTGTGCTCAATTGTAATTTCCACTTACTTGGCGGCGAAGCGCTCGGCCTGGGCCTTCTCCGCGGCGGCGAAGAACTCGTCGATCTCTGCCGCCGGTGGCATCCTTGCTCTCGCCTCCAAGTCTAAGCGGAATGGCGCTGCGGTCGTCGTCGTTGTTGCCGGATACCTCCTGCGTTTGTGCTTCTGCTCGTCCGCCGACTGGCTCGACTCCAGGTCGCTCAAATCTGCCGGGGAATGGCTCGACGGCGTGGTCTCCCTCCTGGATTACCACAATTCAAACAGGTCAAATTCAGAAGCAAAACCGGGTCAAGAACTCAAGATCACCCTGGAGAATAGAAAACAATGGATAATTCAGCAGAATTCCTGTCGGTATCGAGAGAGGAGGACTCACCTGTCCCGGCCGCCGCACTCAGAGTCGCTGACGGAGCTCTCCACGTCGCCACTCTCGCACGCCTGCTGATCGACCAAGACAGTCAGAACCAAATCTCGTAATTCAGCAGCAGAAACTGCCGATCGACCGGCCGAATTTACGGAGAATTCTAGGGCAGTGAGTGGCCCACTCACCTCCGCTTCGTCGCCGCTCCTCTCTCTAGCCGCCACGTCCACCGCCGTCGACGCGGTGCTGGAGCAGCGCGAGACCCCGGCCACGACCGCCGCCTCCACCGAGGGCCGAGAATCCGGCAGCCCCGCCGTCGAAGCCTCCTCGTCCGCCCCAAGTCCCCGGAGCTGATCCACCGCCGCGGAAGCAGGCATGAACAGCCTCCTGCTCCGGAGATGCAGGTAGCACCCGGCGGCCGCGTCGCCGCCGTCACGGCCCAGCAACGCATCCTCCACCGCGCGCGCCGCCGTGGACGTCGTCGCCTGCTGCTGCTTCCTCATCTTCGCGTTGAGGGCGGCCGCGCGGGACCGCGTGCGGACGCCGAGGGCCACCGGCGCGCGGTGCTCCACGACGGCCGGCGCCGCCTTGCCGCCGCCCGCGGCCGCGGCCGCGGCCCGGCACTTCCGCATGTACTTCCCCATCCGCGAACGGACGAAAGGAAAGAACCCGTCGCTTTGGCCGTTTGCCTCCGCACGCTTCCGAGAGAGAGGAGAGAGAGAGAGAGAGAGCGCCAGCAAATTCGCTCCTCCGGAGTACAAATACCCGGCGCGGTGGGGCCGACCGGATTCGGATCGGACGGTCGCGGCGCTCGCGCGGGGTGCTGACGGCGCCGTGATCTGGATCTGGACGGGACGGCGTCTGAGGTGACGGTGACGCGGACGGAACGTGGTATGGTACTGCCGCTGTAACGGCGCACTACACGGTACAGTACCGGGCGGTACCGGCGAGGGCATGGATCGGACGGTTGGGGTTCGAATTTTGAATTTAAAAACTTGGCCCCTCGCAGGGATGGGCTTGTGGCGTGACGGGGGCCGCCGGGCTTAATTGTGCGAGTTTAATGCTGCACCGTTGTAACGTGACGCGCCGGGCCGGGGGGTTACTGGTTACACTCCGAGGCGCACGGCATGCGTGGATCACGTTGGTACATTTTCTTGAGATCGGGCTTGCTGAATGCTTCACTGAATATTCTTATTTAAAGAAAAAAAACTGAACATTTTTTTGAGGGAACAAAAAAAGACTGAATATTTTTACCATGCACTGAACTTCTTTCAAAAAATAACCAGCGAATAAGTTCATCTAACACTATAAGCTTTTTTTTTGCAGGGGACACTATAAGCTTTTTCGAAAAGAAAAAAAAACCACACGATAAGTTGCAAGTGTCGTTTGTGGGTCTCTAGATTACAGTGGGCTTGATCTCAGTTGGTTGTCGTTTGTTTTTTAACTAATTATTATAACTACCTCTAAGACATCGAGGGTTTCTTATCTCCCGCCGGCGTGCCGTTGATCTGTCTCGTCTCCTATTGCCTTAAGGGTCACGAAGGCGCGATGGATCCCAGCCCCTTGCCAGCGGGACGGCTCATGCTTCATCTCTAGGTGTTTTTTAGTCTGTTTAGGTTTGATTCCTGTTCAGGAGGGCGAGGTGGCGGCGACTCCCTCAAAATAGAATAAAGGTTCTCCCATCTTAGCCCCGCGGTGCATCTCACTTCGTCGGACAGCGTGCGGAGGTGTATTTCCGACGTATCTCGTAGGGTTCGGTTGGTGTTTGTCTTTGATGTGGATCAACATGGATACATGCTTCATTCATCTGTGTTCATGCATCCATAGGTTGGATCCTTTCGATCTACGCTTCTCTTCTTTCGTGGCGGTCGTTATTCTGGTGCGCTGGTCCTTTAGGGCCATAAAGGATGTTGTTAGTTGAAGTGAGGGAGAGGTGATGAAGGCAGTATGCCTCCAGTTCACTTCAGTGTTTGTAGTTATCGCTAGGTGGTCTACGGACATGGATGTAGTTTTTGTTATTTATGATATTCTTTGTGCTACCATGATGTTTGATGAATATATTGGAAATGTTTTCCGCAAAATAATTTAACTAAACCTAAACTTTGTTTAATAGGAGAGAAAAATATATTTATAGTCTCTTAAATTTATGCAAAGTATACATTTCGTCCCTTGTCTTTGTTTTCATTCACATTTTGCCCCTTAAGTTTTCAAATTGGGCACGATTCATCCGAACGGTTGGTTGTGTTGATGTTGACTAGGTATTGACCTTTAACCTTGCCACATTAGCGCCACATCACACACATGGATTCAAATCTCTCTCAATGAATCTATCACTGCCTCCTATTCCCATGCATCACTTGGAGGCGACGCTCACACCCCATGTTTTGTCTCCAGGGTCAAAGGAGAAGGCACTCATATTTCCTGCGCAAACGGCCCAATGCTCGATCGCAACACCTTCCTGGGAGGAGCCGAACGCCACACGCACCGGTGGCCTATTTGCCAATTACAAACACGTCGGTCGTGAGCACCTTGTCGCGGGGCTTCATAGGTGTACACTTTACCTAAGCATTATGTGCAAACAGCTCACCGACCTCACAAAAAGGTTCTGGAAAGTTTTTGGAAAAAAACATCGGGCTCCCGCGAACGCCATGGGAGAAAACCTATCGTCATCGTTCCCGACCCCCTCCCCAGCTTGCCGGCGCCAGCAGGCGCCACCGGGTGAAGCCCGTGTACAGGGGCGGACCCAGGTTATAGGCTATGGGGGCAGCTGCCCCCACTCGATTTTTTCAGCCGCTTGGAGGTCGTCCGACGTGTATTTGATGTGCCCCCACTCGAGCAAATACTCTGCCCCCACTCAACCCAGTATTTGTGTATTTTTTAAAGCCCAACTACAATGAAAAAGCCCGATACATAAGAACAAGAATTGCTACAGCCCTCAGCGTACATCAGATCCGATGCCTTCTTCCTGTAGCCTACACACGTTGGCTAGCTCAATCCAATGGCCAGATTTCACATACACGGATGCATCGTCCACTCGAAAGAAAACCAACCGCGCAGCCACACACGGGATAGACTTTAGGAAGCCTTGACTGTCAGGCTCTGTTCTTATCATTCCCCTGTTCTCGCGTGCCGGAAGACACTGTAGCCATAGATTTTTCATCGTGTGGCTCTGGAGTGAAGATAACGGTTCGATCTAGTGAGCAGCTCTCCTTCTTCGATCTGCCATCCAAGGGTTGGCCATCTAGTGAATTAGCTGTAGCGGCTCCGACAAGCGCATGTGCTCTGTTTTGTTTTCTTTCACCTTTTCCCAACTTGTAATAGCTATAAAGCCAGCAACCCTCGGTGTGAGAGGGCATGACTTTGTGTATTGGGTGTAAATCCTAGCCGCCGGTGGCGTGCTGTACCTACTTTTCCCCAAATTCTCAACAATAACCCTAGTTCGAAGCTCCCTGTTTCGTCCCTAAATTCGTTATTTGTGAGCTAAATTGCGTAGAACAGTGCTCTGGTCTTGACAATTGGTACCAGACGCCAGTCTTTCTCGGAGGCGAATTTGATTTGAACAGTGCTCTGGTCTTGACAATTGTGAAAATCCCTCTTCAAGCTTGAATCGGGCGGCGGAGTATTCGGAAGGCGGCCAGAGTGGCAGAGTTCGGGTACAGTCAGAATTGCAGCCTGGTTGCCGAAGAGTAATTCCGTGGTGGTAAAACCCCAGCTCCTGCGATCTGACTGTGTACCAGCGGCGACGAGAATTCCTTCCCTCCCAACCACTGGTGCGAATTGCTGAAGCAGACAAGATGACAGGTCAAGCCGATTCGGGCACAACTGCAGAGTTGCAACTTGAGTCACTGGAGTTGGACATCAAGATGCTGTAGCGCGACAGAGAAGAAGACCGCAAAGAATTTCAGCAATTCCAGGCGACTGTGAACAAAAACTTTGCCACGATGCAGAAGAATTTTGAAAAGATCCAAGACAATTTCAGGCGTTTACTGTTGGACCCGGAGCTAGTTACTGCAGAGGAAAGAGAATAAGGTCAAGGCAGTGTCCAAGTCAAGGACAACCGCAATCAATCTCCTCAAATAGCTCCTGGATGACCCAAACAACTCCAAGCTCCGACTCCTTCGTCAGTAACAATGCCAGAGAAAGGAGCCCCTTTGCCAGTAGGAAATGCAACTCTGCGTGATCACACTAGAAAAGAGCTCAATTTGGATGGGACTCTGAAAGTACCTTACAGGCATCCAAATTTTGGTCAAGGTAAGGAAACAACACCAAACATTATGGTGCAACTAGAAGAAAGGCAGGAGGAAGAGGTCATTGATCCACAATACAGAAGAGGGCCCAACTTCCCTGTTGATGGAAGAACAAATGTTCCAACAGTAAAGCCAACAAAGTTAAATATCTCTGAATTTGAGGGTCAAGACCCAGAGTCTTGGATTCAGAATTTAGAGCAATACTTTACTGCAGCTAGAACTCCTATTAAGCACAGAACTGAACTGGCCATTTCTTACCTCAAAGGGCCTGTTGTACAGTGGTGGAGAGGAACGGGATTTGCTCCTAGCAATATTCCATGGCACAAATTTTGCTCTTACATTTCTGACAGGTTTTCTGTGGATTTTATTTGTGACATTGTCAGCTCCTTCCATGCAGCACAACAAACTACTACAGTTACTGCATATGTGGAGCAGTTTGAGCAACTGATGAACATCATGAGAAGGGAAAACCCTGGAATCCCTGATAATTATTATGTTTCCAGCTTTGTGGCAGGACTTAACCCATATATTAAGAGGCATGTAGAGTGCTTCAGGCCTAAGGATATGCAAACTACAGTGTGTATGCTAGGAGGATGGAAAAGGCTGAGGTACCAACTACAACAGTGCAAACTAAACCATATATTCCTCAACCTAGAAGGCAAGTAATATTTAATCAGCCCCAAACCCCTGCAACTACTGCCACACCAAACAGAAACACTGTTATTCTACAGGCAAAATAAAACCAAGTTTGTTATAAGTGCAGAGAGCCATGGGTGCCAGGTCACAGGCAGTTCTGTAAAATGAGCCAGAGAGCTCAAATCCAAGCACTACAGGCTGAGGAAGTTGAAAACCCTGAAACAATCTTTGTCACAGACTTTGATGACCCTGATTTGGAAACACATGAGCAGCCATCTAGTGAAGAAGTGTCAATGCATGCTGCAATGGGTATAGGAGCAACCAAAAATACTTTTATATTGATTGTGAAAGTAGGAAATACAATTGCCACAACACTGGTGGATAGTGGTAGCACTTCTACCTTCATTTCTCCTGAAATGGCAGGCAAGTTACCTGTCACTACAAGCCCTACACCCAAGATAAAGGTGGTGGTTTCTGGTGGGGGAGTGCTATGGAGTGAATTTCAAGCAAAAGATTGCCCTTATGAAATACAAGACCATCACTTTACTGACAGCTTCAGAGTATTGAAACTGAAGGGGTGTGACATGATTTCGGGAGTTGATTGGCTCAGGAAATATAGTCCAATACAAATGGACTTTATTAAAATGGAAATAAAAATTTCTGACAGCTCTGGACAGTTCATCACATTTGTGGATGAGACTATTCCCCTGGCTCCTGTAGCTGAGGCTAAGGACAACACTGAAAAATTGTTAGAACAAGCT